AGTAGAGTACTAATAAAAATAATAAGTCCCACAACTACAACTTGGAAGACGAACAACGAGAACTTTTGACAAAAATGCAACAACATTTTTCACACCTGCGAATGACTTGCTAGTATTGACATGCAGAAGATTCACATTGATGATTTTGTATTCGAGAGCATCACGACCCAGCATGATATTATCGAAGAAGTATCAAGATTAGCACGGCTATCAAATGCTATGTATGAGTTTTATTCCGGAAGATCCAAGATTACTACAAAAAAAAACTATGGAATTAGCTGATTTATGCGGACAACGTTCCGCCGCCCATCTCTAGCATTCTCTGAAGCGCGTAAGGGTGAGACGGACAGCGCTCCGGGTGGCAGGTACTAGGCATGTAAACACTCCTGCCTTTGCTCCTACTTCTTGACCATTGTAAACCGTAGGGGTATTAGCGTAGTTGTGAAGGAGATTTAGAACTCTCTGCTACACCGGTAGCTACGCGGGAAATATCTAGGCCGGGCCTTTACAGAACTCGCTCGCACTACAAAAAAAACACGTTGCCACCTATTGAATTTAATACCAAAAATAGAACACTGCGTGCTTATACCTCTGTGCAGTTTCTCAAGTCAAATAGGAGATCAAATAGAAGCTTATCGGCTGCACAAAAAGGAATGCCTCGACAACTGACAGTGCAGCTCCATGTTGTTGACTTGCCTGGTAGCAGAAGTTGTTGACTTCGCCTTGCCTGGTAGCAGAAGTTGTTACATCGTCCAAACCTAGTAAGCAGACAGAGATGTCGAATTATGAAGATGAGAACCAAATAAGCGAGATACAAGCAATCGCCTCGAGTGCTCACCTAGTTACCGGTGAGCCACTGCTACTACTAATACTACTAATCGCCCGCGTGACCTCGTACAAGATTAGGAACCAAAGAAGATGGGGTTAGAATTAGATCGTAGAAGATGGGATGTACGAGATTAGATCGTAGAAGATGGGACTAGAATTTACTCGAATTATTGTTGAACGGGACAAGAGCAATGACGACAAGAGAAGATATGGCGAGATTTATGACGTACGTCAATGGATGTAAGTACGTGAAATAGAGTTGTCCTTGAAATCAATCGCAGTGTACACATGTTACTAAGAGCAAAAGAAGACGTTTCTTCCGTCTTCAACGGAGGAGCCATGTTTAGGCGCCATGTCTAGGCCTCATCTCCTTGTGGAGGCCCCTTTGTCGTTGAAATCGTTGTTCACTATTCGCTAAGTGGATAGTTTCGAGGATCCAACTGAAATTTGCGCGCAGCGCAATATAGATTTTGTGGCTGTAAAGGTACGAGTCAACAAGAACATCAGCTGTAGAGGAACGCGTCGATGTAACATATTGTCGTCTGATGTATCTTGGCGTGGACTTGAGATTCGCGCAACACGCCTACTTCACCTAAAAGCACCGGCAAAGGCTAGCATCTGTCAGTAATCGCATTAAAAAACGGCAAACTGTGTACAGCTATTCGGTCTAGAAGACGAGGGTGGGCGAAAATCAATAGTAAATCGGTTTCAAAGAAAAAAATCGGAAACCTTGATGAAGCTTTCCTCTTCCCTACTTCAACCTCCATACTTCCCACCTCCAGAAAAACATCGAAGCTTCCCCGTAACGATTCCAGAAGCTGGTATCTTATACCCCTCCTCTTGCACTTAAGTTTCTTGTAGGAAAGAAATCAAGGGTGGCACAAAGACAATCAAAATCAAGGGTGGGTGACCAGATTAAACAAAAGCTGTACCAGATTGATCAAAAGAAAGACAATGCCGCGCTCATCGAAGAGGAAGTATGAGCGTTCCTGCTCGTGTAAAGCAGGCGCAGTTGCTTTGACCAGCAGTAGTACTATTAAGGCAATG